GCCTCAGCCTCCTGAGTAGCTGGGACTGCAGGCATGTGCCACCATGCCCGGCTAATTTTTTCTATATATATTTTTAGTTGGCCAATTAATTTCTTTCTATTTTTAGTAGAGATGGGGTCTCGCTGTTGTTCAGGCTGGTTTCAAACTACTGACCTTGAGTGATCCTTCCTGCCTTGGCCTCCCAGAGTGCTAGGATTACAGGCGTGAGCCACCGTGCCCAACCTTGTCTGGGGTTATTTCAACATCCCCTCCCTAACCAATAGGGAACATTACATTTAGAAAGTTAGTGCTGGAAGAAATAGTTTGGGGCTGAAAAACATGAATCACCAGTCCTGGAAGTTACATACTGACCAGATATTGTGGGGAAGTAACTCGCCCGTATTGTGGATATGATTTCTTTGGAGACATATAACAGTAAATCCCTTGAGACCTAAGCGGAAATAAAGTTCTGGAGTTTTTTTGTTTTTGTTTTGTTTTGTTTTTATTTTGTTGTTGCTGTTTTTGTTCACTGTAAGAATTAGACTTAGGTTTGATTTCAGGGAAATTGAGACTAGCTTACGAGAAAGTAAGCTATTTGGAGCACCTGGAAAAGTACTAAGAAGACTCCTTTATGCATCAAAACATTTCCCAGCTGGAGCCTAGAGGGTCACTAACACAGATTTATTTCTTGTGATTAAATTTGTGCTTTCCAAGACTGTTATCTTTATTCATAAGTGCCTTTGGAAGTACGAATGAGGGGTGCAGGGTGGTGTTCTGGCTAAGCACCCAGGCACAACATGTGCTAGCTGGCTCCATCCAGCCTCTGCCACATCCTAACTGTAACCTGGGAGCATTTAACCCTTTAAGCTTAAATGTCCTCACAAAATGAAGGTAATAACAATGCCTATTTCATAAATATATGATAAAGATTAAAATATTGCACAAATAAGGCATTTTGTTCAGTGACTAGTCTGAGCGCTCAGTGAACCTTAGCTGTTATGATAGGCTATTAGTAAAGCTTTATTAGCTATTATCACTTGAGCACATTTAGTTTTACCAGATTGATTTCCACAGCAATAATAGCTCCTTAAGAATATTGGACAGTCAAGAGAGAGAAATCTTTCTTGCTCTGTGAGGGGGAAGAAAATAGCATAATTGTGGATCAGGTAGGAGAAGAGGGCATAGGCATCAGGTATACCCAGATTCTAATCCCGATTTTACTACTTGCAGTATTGGCATATTAACTTGGCATATTAACGTGGGAATTTACTTAATTCTCTGGGCCTCAGGTTCTAGTTACATAAAAAAGTGGATAGCAATACTTGCCTGTTTTCTAAGGCAGTATCCAGAATAAGGTAAGGAGAGGATAAATGAGTACATGATAAATAATAGCTACCTTATGTAGAATTCCAACACTTTGAAGCTTTTTAATGTTATTTATTTATTTGAGATAAGGTCTCTGTTGTGTGAGCTAGAGTGCACTGGCGTCATCATAGCTCACTACAATTTCAAACTCCTGGGCTCAAGTTATCCTCCTTCCCCAGCCTCCCAAGTAGCTAGGACCACAGGAATGTGCCACCATACCCAGCTAATTTTTACATTCTTATAGAGACAGGGTCTCGCTATGCTGCCCAGGCTGGTCTCGAACTCCTGGCCTCAAACAATTCTCCCACCTCAGCCTCTCAGTGTGCTAGAATTATAGGTGTGAGCCTGTGCCTGGCCTGTTTTTATTGTTTATTTTTCCACATGAATTTAACATGTGGATATTTTTATTGGGATAATGCTACATTTAAAATTTATTCAGGCTTAAAGAAGAAGGAAATTCTGAAATATACTACAATATGGATGCATGTTGAGGGTGTTATGTTAAGGCAGTCCCACAAAGACAAACACTGTATGATTCCACTTACGTGAGGGACCCAGAGTAGTGAAGAGACAGAAAGCAGCGTGGTGGCTGCCAGGAGCTGAGGGCAGGGGGATATGGAAGTTACTGTGTAATGGGTATAGACTTTCAGCTTTGCAAGATGAAAGAATTCTAGAAATGGACAGTGGTGATGGTTGCATAGCATTAGGAACGTAGTTAACACCACTGAACCATACACTTAAAAATGGTTAAGATGGCAACTTTTATGCTATGTGTATTTTACCACAAGAAAAAAAAGTTAACCTAGGAGAACTGACAACTTCTTAAGGCTGAGCCTTCCTAGCCATGATACACAAGATATGTCTGTGTTTTCATTCATGTCTATTATTGATTTCTTCAGGAGCACTTTAAAATTTTCCACATCTACATCTCCACGTTTCTTATTAAAATTTTTATCTGGGTTTTTTAATCTTTTTAGATGCTCTGTAGATGTGGTCTCCTATCCCATTTTATCATCAGACTAGCTGTCATTTAAAAGTAAGACTTTAAGATACACCATGAGACAGACTATACATTGCTATAAGTAACTTATAAGGTCAGTCCAGGAAAGGCAAAATGAATCAGCTTCAGAACCATTTCAATCAACAAAATTTGTGTAGACACTTGTCCCTACCATTAAGTTCCTGTATTACATGCTAGGTATGTATTAATAGCTTCTAAAATCTTAACAGCTGTACTTTACCACTATGCAATCTATGTAGGTAACACATTTACACTTGTACCCCATGAATTTATACAAATTAAAAAAAATTACTTTGGGTATTTTTTCTTGCTACTTATAGGATTTTTTTGAAATTTTCATATAGTCAAAACACTTTTTTTCCTTTATAATATTTTCCCATGCTTATATGCATACTTTACTCTGTCTCAAGATCAGTTACATATTTGTTTTTATTTAATTTCAAAAATTTAAAAAACAGTGTTTTTTGTTGTTGAGAAAGGACTTTTCAAATAGATATTAAAGATACAATAATAGAAATAATATGGTGTTGATAGAAGAATATACACACAAATCTTACTGTGTATAGAAATTTAGTTTGTGGTAAAGTTGACATTTCAAATCAGTGAAGAAAGATGAATGTATCAATAAAAAATAAAATCTTAACAACATGGAGAGACAGCTATTACTGATATAATAAGATAACAAAGCACAATTGGAGGTGCAGTTGTAAAAGGATTTTGTTCTCATTTTTAACTCCTTGACTGTCTCTGGAGGGTGGGCTTGGTCCCTGAAGGGCCCTCTATTTCGCTGAGGGTGTAGCTGGCCATGTACAAATGAAGAGGAGGTTGGATTAAGTGGGAATAAATGATTGAGTTTATAGAAGAGAGACTGAGAGTTCTGGGGAAAGATCTGGGAATGTGCAATCCTGGAGCCAGCTGGGCTGGAAATGCGAAGGAGAAAGAGTGAGAAAGGAACCCTGTAGGTGGATAGACAGTTTGTGGGTGGATGAAACACGCTGCACTGGGATATTTCAGTTTGTATGTTGAGAGCTAGGTCCGCCTTCCTGACTCTCCTGCAGAATGGTCATTTGAGAAATCGATCCTTTTGGATATCTGTACTTAATTTTTAAAAAAGGAAAGCAATCCATAAGCATTTTTATTTTTCCAGAATTGGGTTACTTTTCCCATCATGACTCCTATCCTGACTGCATAGTGTCACAGTCATTCCTGTTTGTGACACTTTTGTGATGAACAGTTTTATGGAGCAAATAGTTTCTCTTTCATTTACAGCGATTGACGGTAATACGCCTGACTCTTGTTGCAGTTTGGCTGAAGAGGAGAAGGACACCGCTGAGTTCATTTGCACTTGCTGTGCCCCCACCCTTGTTCTTCCAGATGAACTCCACGTTGCTGGCTTCTTGTTGGGTAAGTTTTCGGTTCTAATGTCACCATGTTTCAGCTTCTTCCTGGGTTATGTCTGTATCTAAAATTATCTTATTTTTGTTTGTTTTTTATTTTTTTGAGATGGGGTCTCACTCTGTTACCCTGGCTAGAATGCAGTGACGTCATCATAGCTCACTGCAACCTCAACTCCTGGGCTCAAGCGATTCTCCTGCCTCAGCCTCCCAAGTAGCTGGGACTACAGGTGCACATCACCAAACCTGGCTAATTTTTCTGGTTTTCTGTAGAAAGGAGGTCTTGCCTTTGCTTAGGCTAGTCTAGAACTCCTGACCTCAAATGATCCTCCTGCCTTGGCCTCCCGTAGAGTGCTAAGATTACAGGTGTCAGGCACTGCAGCTGGCCTGTTTGTTTCTTTATTGTAGTTTCTCTCCTTCAAAAGCTTTGGCTAGCGGGGTGTGGGGTGGCTCACGCCTGTAATGCTAGCACTCTGGGAGGCTGAGGCGGGTGGATCACTCGAGGTCAGGAGTTCGAAACCAGCCTGAGCAAGAGCGAGATCCCGTCTGTACTAAAAATAAAAAGAAATTAATCGGCCAATTAAAAATATATACAAAAAATTAGCTGGGCATGGTGGCATATACCTGTAGTCCCAGCTACTCGGGAGGCTGAGGCAGAAGGATCGCTTGAGCCCAGGAGTTTGAGGTTGCTGTGAGCTAGGCTGACGTCATGGCACTCTAGCCCCGGCAACAGAGTGAGACTCTGTCTCAATAAAACAAAAAACAAAAGCAAAACAAAAGCTTTGGCTAAGTGTGGATCTTGTCTACTTCGTTAACTGTGATATTCCTGGTGTTCAGAATAGTGGCACATGGTAAGCCCTTAATAAATATTTGGTGAATGAACAAATGAATAAAATATAGTTAGGCTTCTGTTCTTTTGCTTTCTTAGGTTGCAATTTATATCTGTTGCATTGGCTGAAACATAGATTCCATATGAATGGATTCGTTCTCATTGCAATAATTATGGAATTGTATGACAGTAATGAATTGAGAAATGACTTTCAAGTCCAAGTCCCCCCTCTAGTCCTAGCCCTTTTAAATCAAATGACCTCAAGTGTCCCCACAAAATAATAACAATAATAATAAATATATGAAAGATAAGGTAATAAAATAATAACATATTTTATTATTATATTAACAATATTATTGTAACAATAAAATAATAACAACTTCAAGCAATTCTAAATGTGAAAAATTTAGCAACACACACAGAAAGAAAGGAAGAATTACGGTAGAAAGAAATGGGTGGGCTTGGTTTGTATTTGAAGGTATTTCTTTTCACTTGGTAATGGATACCCTGCTTTTCTTCTGTATGTGATGCAGACTGTGACTTATAGTAATATATTTATTTTTGTCCATTTATAAAGTCTATCTCTTTTGTAAAAGCACCGAATATCTGCAAAGTAGCAGATTAAAAAATAGCTGAAAGCAGAAAAATATCTTGGTTAAAGATTTGGAGTAAAATTACATTACATTTTAAAATAAAATTTTTATTAGGTTAAAAAATATCTTTTACCAAAGCAATTATACTAACTTAACTCACATTTACTGAGTAAATTTAAGAAACTGAAAGATGAAAATAATATAACCGGACATTCAACTCAAGTTTCTAAAGAAAAAAGGAACAAACTAAACAAAAAATAGGAGGAAGACATAAATAAAAGTAAATGTAGAAATTAATGAATTAGAAAACAAGTATAAATGTGAAGGTAAAAAGTTAATGAGTTTGACTACATCAAAATGAAAGATTTCTGTTAAGTAAAAAAAACCCTAGGCAAAGCTAAGAGACATGCAATATATTAGGAGAAGGTATTTGCAATATGTATAACTGCCAAGTGATAATGTCTAGAAAATACAAGGGACTTATGCAAATGAACGATGTCAACCACCACCCCAACAAATGAAACATCCTGGAAGAAAATGAGTGAAGATTCCAAGAAGTAGAAAGCAGAATGGATAGCAAGCAGGCATATCAAAAGATGGTCAACCACCAATAATCAGAGTGCTTAAATAAAAATAATGAGAAACCATTTTATTCTCATAAGAATGATAAATAATTAGAAAATCAGATATTACCAAATGCTAGCAGGGATGTGCAGAAAATGAGAACCTTCTTGGACTGCAGGTGGAAATGTAAAATGATGCAGCCATCCTGGAAAGCAACCTAGGGAGGACTAGAGAAGTGGCAAGTGTCTGTCTACACACAACACGCTGGCGATAGTTCTTCTGAGTATAACCTATGGCTAGTGAGTAGAATTTGGGCCCGGCAGGGAAAATGGTTTTCAGGTCTCCTAACAAGGATAGACTTGGCAAAAATCTTTACCTGGGATTTGTTATGCAGTCTAAGCCCCTGACACCCTTCCAGATGATGGGGGTTGGGAGTTTGGATTACCTCCCTCAACCCCTCATTGTCCCTCTATACACGCCTAAGAAATTCACGCAGATGATTAGGGGACGTATTAGAGGATATTCATTGAATAGATACACATGGCTGCAGATGTCATCCCTGGGACAGCATACGTAAAATATGGTGCAGGGATACCGTGGACCAACTATAGCTGGTAGAAGAGGGGGACTGGGCGAACGTTGAGGGAGGCTGGATAACGATCCTCCCAAAACGGGCACATCCACATGCCCAGAACCTGGGTAGCTGTAATTAAATTAATGATCTTCAGATGGGGGAAATGAGCCCTGGCTATCCAGGTGAGCCAACGTGGTAACGAGGTTCCTTATAGGGGGAGTCAGTAGGATGAACAGTCAGGAGTGGAAGATGTGATGAAGGAAGTTAAGAGGTTGGAGTGACACAAGGAAGGAGTCATGAGCCAAGGAATGCAGGTGGCCTCAGGGCCCCCAGAAAGAACCAGAGCTGTGGATGGTTCAGCCCAGTGAGACTGATTTTGGACTTCGGACCTCCAGAATTGGAAGAGAATAATTTGAAACCACTAAGTTCACAATAAGTTGTTACAGCAGCAACAACTAAGTAAGGAATTATATTAATGTCATCACAAAACTAATATAAGCATACAACATAGATGGATTTTAAAATCACAGAGTTAAGTGAAATAAATTTTTTAAAAAGATATGATTCCCCCCCCCCTAGAAATACACACAGATCCAAGAACTGGAAGAAGTCTACTTAGGAGAAGGGAATGGGAGTCGGAATTATGGCAGAATTAAAAAGTAAAATGATTAAAATAATTTTGTGTGTTTTGTACAGCACCATTAATGATTAGGTCATAAAGAGAGAGTATGGCCAATACATCTCTGCATCTGAGATGCCCCGTAACACTCCTCCTATCACATTTGCAAGAAAGAAAGAAAGCAATGGAATAGAATTGGCACAAAAACTATAGATCTGGTTCTACCAAAAGACTACTAAATAGATAAACCCCTGGCTTCTGTGACCACAAAGAAAAGGGAGAAAACAAAGTAACATACCATTTGGTTGAGAAATGGGGTTTTGACTACAGATATAGAAGATACTTAGAAATTAAATACTATTTACAACATTAAGCACATGGATTGGATATTTAGATAAAATAAATAGTTTTGGGGGGGTATTGCAAACTACCAAAATTGACTCAGGAATGGTTAGAAGAAACCTCAATTTGGTGGAAAACTGGAGGAATTTATAATGTCCTCCAAAATCTAATCCAGATCCAGATATTTTGAAAAACAAATTTATCAATATCTACAATACATAGATGATTCTTGTGCTGTTTGATCTGTTCTGGAACATAGAAAATGATTAAAACCTTCTGTCCTCCCCCTTAACAGTAAGCCCAGGTAAGATTAGCAGCATGATAAAGAGGAATCCCTATTTAGGAATTAGGTGACCTGTATTCCAAGCATGCACATTCCACTCGTCAGCTGCATGCTCATGAGCAATTCACCTAATAACCCCCTGCCTTATGGCCTCGTCTGTCAAACAGGTGCTCCACAAATGTTGGCATCAGCTCTATCCTTCCCCTCCCCAGCCCTTCTCAGAGCTTCAGTGTTGGGTTTGCCATTGCCTCTTCTCCCAGCCTGCAGGTTCCATCCCAGTCTGGTCTCTGAGCCAATTCTGACCGAGCACAGCCCCAGTCCCCTCCATCCCACCTCTCCAATCCAAGACAGACTCAGTTTTTGTGACTTTCATAGGTTCTGGACCAAAAGGAGGTAGGGCTGACCATTGCATGCCAACACTGCTCCTTAGCACTCCAGGCTGCCCCCATCCCACACTGCTCCTCTCACTCCCACCCCCAAAGCTGCACTTTCATGGCAAGGATTCTGCCTTTGTTCCTGCAAACCTGTCTAGTTCTGCCCTGGAAGTTCCTGTCCTGGTGACTATGGACCCTGGAAAGCAGCGGGCAGCAGATGCAAGGGGTTTGAGCATCCTTTCCTACACTACCACTGTCTCTACCTTGAATATCTCACATACATACGTGTTGCTGCTTTTCCAAATGAACTTCTCCCAGTCTGGGTTCAAGCAAGAGAAACCACACAGTAATACAAAACAAGAGAAGTTTAATATATAGAAGTATTAAATAGTGATAGAAGAATAACTATTAATATAAGAATGTAAATAGAACTTTAAAGGGCATCCCAGGATTGAGAGAGAGTTCCCAAGGGGGGACAACGTGGAAAGAGTGTTCTCCCCCTCTGGCTTGGGTTCAGACCGTGCAGGAGAAGGTGTGTTGACAGTTTGCTAGATGTCAGAGAAGATGACTGTCTGCCAGGACCAGAGCTGGTTCACCCTGCTGGGCAAACAAGACGCAATCGCCAGGAGCACGGGCAACTGGAGGCCGGTGGGCAGATGCACAGTCAGGCCACTGCTGAGGACATGTTGCAGGGCCATGAGAAGGCAGTCCCGGGCCTAAGAGTGGGCCAAATAGTCACCAAGGGACTGTGTCTCTGGGCATACAGGAGGGACAGGGCACCACGGGGTGACCTTGTGCACTGTACCACTGACCAATGATGCAACAGGATCATGAAAAAGCAAAAGGTAGCACACCGTAATCATGAAGAGAAGCGCCCTTTCTCCTGCAGTGCCATCCCAGTGGCCCCTACTGACAAAACTTAACATGCTCTTGTGAATGAGAAATGCTTAAAGGGCCCAGTCCATGTTTGCAGAGCAGCTACTAAAGGAATCTGAAACTGATGGGCCATAAATTGAAAACCGGTATGGCACTTGTGGAATTAGTGAAATATAAATTTATTTCAAAGCTCTGTTGGTTCCTACTTGATTTTTATCGTTATATATTTCTCAATTAGCAGATATAAAGAGGATGACAATTAGCATGTGGGGAGTCCACAAAACATTTTGATGTTAAATGTGGGCCCTTCTTGACAAGGTGGGAATATGCTGCTCTATCTAGCGAGCACACAACCATGAATACCAGGTGATGGCCACCTGTTGGCTTGACTCTAAAATAGCATCTCGCTCTCCAGATCTGTCAGGTTTCCGCCACTCTTGTGCTGTTCACTCTAGTGTGAATCATTTGCATAAATTATGAAGGCAGCTCCCGAGTCCCTTGTGCATTACTTCTTGGTCTTCTCAGTCCTAGCCGGCAATTAGCCCCTGCAAATACCTGACCTTCCCCAAACTACCTGTCTGCCTTTCTCAAAAAGCAGTCTGGCATTTTGTCCCTCTCAGGAGCTAGGACGGTTGACTGAATGAATGAGTGAATTAATGAGTGTCCAATCCCATTCCTATTTCAAGGATTATTACAAAGCATACATACAGAGCATAAGTGGAAGTGTTCTGAATAGCATAAATCATAATTGCTACTACTACTAATATCATTATTTTAAAGTAAGATTTTCTTTGCATTTCAGTATATCTCATTTGCAAATGGTGCTTTTCTTTTTAAATAAGTGGTTTCTACTTTTATAGCCAAGCTCAGTGGTAACTAAGCAATTCAAACATTTGGTGGCATGTGCACTATCTGCAAGATTCTGTCATTAGACTGTACTTAATTTGCAAATCCAAATGTCTACACACTGCAGGTATAAGAACTTGCAGGTCCAAACACTACATCACCTAGTCCGGAAGATAAAGGCCATCCCACATTGCATCTAAGGACTCTGACCTGAATGACATTTTCTAGGAAGTAGGTGAGAGTAGAGGAGACAAGGAGGGAGAATTAAGAGCAAAAGTTAGTTTCATTTAAAACGAAACAAGTAGGTCAGCTGACATTGTGCTAAATGAGCCCGTTCACTTTGCAGGTTAAAATTTTACCTTAAACTCAACTTCGCGGTAAAAGAAAGAAGAAGAAGATGACTCTGGGATACAAATTGTGAAACTTGTAATGATGATGTGATACTTTAATTTGGTTAAAATACATGACAATATAAGTCAGGACAACTTTTGGCTGACACAAATAAGGAGTCATGCTCAAGTGCACAAAAGCTTTCCCATGAGCCACTTGTTTTTGGTTTTAATAAAGCTCTATCTATTTCTTTGCATCAATTACCGGTAAACTCTTTTGTTAGTTTAATGCTAGAAAACAAATGGGAACCTTGTGGTTTTTCCCCACAAGGTGGCTATTTCTAATATCAAGATTGCCACAGGCTGGGCGCGGTGGCTCACACCTGTGATCCTAGCACTCTGGGAAGCCGAGGCAGGAGGATCGTTTGAGCTCAGGAGTTTGAGACCAGCCTGAGCAAAAGTGAGACCCTGAAAGAAATTAGCTGGACAACTAAAACTATATAGAAAAAATTAGCCGGGCATGGTGGTGCATGCCTGTAGTCCCAGCTACTCGGCAGGCTGAGGCAGGATTGCCTGAGCTCAGGAGTTTGAGGTTGCTGTGAGCTAGGCCGATGCCATGGTACTCTAGCCTGGGCAACAGAGTGAGACTCTGTCTCAAAAATAAAAAAAAGAAAAAAAGATTGCCACAGGCAATTGGGGTAGGGGAATGTAGAGGCAGAGAAGGCATCATATAGGTGTTTTGGGGTGGGGAAGTAACACAAAGAAACTCACACTTAAAGGAGAATATTCTTATGGGCTGGTGATGTACACAGCTAAGCAGCCTAATGTAGTAAATCAAGTATAAAAGTTCTCAGAAGTTAACTAGTCAAGCCCCTGTCTAGTATAAATGAGGAAACTGAGTCCTAGAGATTACAGAAGAATTTTCTCAAAACTTCATACCATGTTGTTGGCAAAGCTATGTCTAGTGACCGATCTAAGAAGCTGTGGCTGCTGTTCTTTTTTCACCAAATGTCACTGACCTTTAGAAATGACACGGCGCTCACATTTTTAATTTTGTATGTTTTTAAATGACCTAAGAGTTGTAGATCCTAGAGAATTATTCCCCATTTGGGATCATAGTTGTGAATGTTCTTTTCTCTAACCACAATGTCCTTACAGGTTTTCTCTCCCGTTCCTTCAAATCCACTTGTTTTCTAATCAATCCTAGCACAACTGTTCTGTGACATTAGACAAGTTTCTTAGCTACTCTATGCCTCAATTTCCACCATAAAATAGAGAAAATAATATTGACTACTTTGTAGGGTTGCTATAAAGAACAAGTTAGTTAATATACGTAAAGTACTTAGAATAGTACCTGGCATATAAGTGCTATATAAATTTTAGCCATTTTTAGAGACATCAGTTTAAGATAAAGAGTTTTTCTGTTAGCTTTTGTTGTTCTATTCTGAAAAATTCACAACACCTGAGTCTAGTCTTAGGTCACTGGTCAAGACTGGCTTTATGGTCCTGAAGTTAATGACATTCTAAAGGACCTTACAGTGAGCCTCCAGAATGGACGTGGGATATTGCAGGATATGGTCTAGGAACAGAAAGGACTGAAGGAAGTGCCAGTGGGGTGGGGGGGTGGATCAGAAGGCAGGAAATTAGAGAGAGGGAGATGCCCATTTAAGCATCATGCAGCTTCAGTCCCACGGAGTGTGTGTGTGTGCGCGTGTGTGTGTGCGCGTGTTTCTGCTAACAGACTCTGTACAGTTCTCTGGGTGTCCAGACATGTGTGATATTATAATCACAACTGAGAGATTATATTCTTTTGATGCTCAAATCTCCAATTGCTGACCTTTCATCTGAGTAAAAGTTCTGCATCTCCATTAGTTTATGAGGCATCTTCCCTTAAAGATCCAGCGATCCACCCAGCACAACACAAATTCAGTTTCCTAGAGCCACCTCTGCCCGGAAACCTTATTTTTGCCATTGGTAACACATTTCCTTCAATTATTCAGGCTTAAGAGATGGACTTATTTGTAACTCTTTATTCTTAAAATTCAAGCTCTAATGTATGCTAACTAAGTAATCATGAGTATGTGATTTATATTGTGTTTCCTTATCTATACATTGTAGTTAATTTTAACCACTTCATAAGGGTTGTTGTAAAGAATAATACTATTGAAAGAAAAAATACTATTATAGTAGTGGTAATACCATTATTCTTTTCAGCAACCCTTATCAGGTAGTTAAAATTAACTACTAAAATAATTACTATCATAGTATTAGTAATGTGGTAGAATAGTACTGACATTAGTCATAATAAGTATATGGTATTAGTATTAATAGCAAGATAACCATATAGTAATAATAATGGCTACCATTTATTAAGCCCTTTTTATTTTCTTATTTAATCCTCAATACTACTCTATGCGGTAGGTTGTGTCTTTATCCTTAGGTCACAGAAAGAAAATGAGGCTAGTGGAAGCTCATCTGAGTGTCTAGTCAGTGCCAGCTGTTTTTCTAGAAACTTTAGATTCACCAGTATACAAGACAGGGTCCTGGCTTTTGTGGAACTTACAACCTTGTGGGGAAAACCAAGTCAACAAACAAAATCATTACAGACTGCGAAGAGTCCTATGAAGTAAACAACAGAGCCTGGTGAGAGAGTGTAATAGGTGGTTGGCCCACTTTAGGTAGAGTAATTCTCAAAGGCATCTTAAGCAAAGTGTCCTTTAAGCTGAGATGTACGGATGGGAAAGGGTCCAACCTTGGGAAGGACTGAGGGAGAGTGCCCAGGCCTTCAGACTGGAAGGAGCTGGCATGCTTGAGGGACAGAAAGACAGGCAGGGGGTGCAGCAAGGTGGGGGCAGGGGTTGAGTGATGAAGCTGGATTAGAGGATGAGGCCAGGGATCCCTGTGCCCCCCGTGGCAAGGAGTTTGGGGTTTGTTCTTGTGCAGTGGGAAGGCTGACTAGCCTGAAAGCTGAGCAGTGAATGACTGCTCTAAGTTAAAGTTCTAAATATTCCTTTGGCTTCAGTGTGGCGAAAGGCTTATAAGGGTGTCAGAGAGGAAGCTGGGAGACCAGATGGGCAGCTACTGCAGCAGTCTGGGCAGGAGATGGTGAGTGGGTGTGGATACCAGGGGACAGGGGCCTGTTTTTGAGGTGAAGTCTTTGTGACCGGCTGGGGGATGGAGGGGAACACAAGGAGAAGGTAAGAGCCAGAAAGAGGCCTCTAGCTTAAGCACCTGGGGGCATGGCGGTGCCAATAACTGAGTTGGGAGGACTGCAGTAGGAATAGTTTTTTAGAAAGACAAATGAAACATATAATCAAGAGTTCCATTTTGGCTGTGTAACAGAAGATGACCAGGCATCCAAACAGAGAATTCAATTAGAAGAGGTCAATGAATACATGAATCTGGTTCAGGAATCTGACTATAGGTAAACATATAGGATTGTCTGCACATACGTGGTGCTTAGAACCATTGGCCTGGGCTAGGCATGGTGGCTCACGCCTGTAATTCTAGCACTCTGGGAGGCCAAGGCGGGAGGATCGCTTGAGGTCAGGAGTTTGACATCAGCCTGAGCAAGAGTGAGAGCCCATCTCTACTAAAAATAGAAAGAAATTAGTCATACAACTAAAAATATGTAGAAAAAATTAGCCAGACATGGTGGTGCATGCCTGTAGTCCCAGCTACTCGGGAGGCTGAGGCAGAAGGATCGCTTGAGCCCAGGAGTTTGAGGTTGCTGAGGGTTAGGCTGACACCACAGCACTCTAGCCCAGGCAACAGAGTGAGACTCTGTCTCAAAAAAAACGTAGAAGAAAAAAGAACCATTGACCTGGAAGTGAAAACACACATGAAGGAGACAAAACACCGCAGGTCTGAGCGCTGAGGAATCCTAACTTTTGTAGGTCACACAGGAGAAGAATCCAGGGATATGGGAAGGGAAGCCTGTTTGAAGTCACCCAGTTGGCAAGGAGCTGTGATTGCCAGTCTTGTGAAGAGTCCCGCCGAGTGTGGCACACAGAAGGTCCCCTCCCTGCAATCCAAATTACTGCAACAGCCTCTTCCATCTCAAAACCTTCAGTCTCACATTCCAGGCCAACGTGGACTCCTCCTTGCTTCTTCAACCTACTTCTGGCACCACGCTCTACAGCTTACAACAGTCTAGAAGCTTGTGGGATAGATACTATTTTACCTAGCAGTAACCATCACAGCACTAGCATTCATTTAGTCAGCACATGCTTGCTGTGGGGCCGGCCCCCCCGCAAGTCCCCAAGGAGATGCCAGAGAGCAAAGCCGATGAAGTCCTTGCTGTCGTGGGGCTGACACTAGGGAGGGGGCTTCCCTTTGCCAGTTTTCCCATGGGCTCCTTACAGGCCATACTCATTCTGTCCTCCACAAATGTTCACTCTGTCCTCACGCTCTTTCCTGCCCTCCGTTATTCAAATCCTCCACTTCCACAGAAGCCAGCCAGGCTAAAAATAGCCTCTGTCATGTTCCCACTTGTGAGCACTGAAATACCCAAACATAAACACCACCTTCTCACCTCTGCTCTCTCCCACAGGGATACTCGCTACCTGCAGAGAGCCATCCACACAGAGACATCGCCATAGAAACCTCTGCAGGGGTAACCCGATCGCCATGTGCAAACCCGTACACAGAGATAAATGTAGAGAAACAGATGCCCAGAAGAGCGGGTATGAGCATGAGCTTGGGTGAGTCAAACGAAAGAGTGAATTAGGGGCGAATGGGTGGTGTAGGGAAAACAAAAAGGACTGGAGGAAATGGTAAAAGAAGGGTCAGCAAAACAACTTTGGGGTACCCAGACAGAATGCTAAGCCCAGAAGACCCCCTAAAGGGCTTTTGATGGACCTAGCTCATTGCCTACTGCTAAGACTAAAGGCAGTAAGAGCCACATTCTGGGCTCTTCTCAGGAGCCCAGGCTCAAGGGAGGATTCCTGCAAGGAAGGTCAGTTCACCTCCAGCAAGCACAGGCTATATTAGGGAAATGTCACTGGGTGTTAACCTATTTAACACTAAAGCCTTCTCAACCTGGCAGATTAGTCTAACGCTCTCCGATGGGGTTACACGGATAATTCTCTCATGTGCTTACCTGCAGCTACCAAACGGCTTCCATTAGTACAAATGATATCGTCAAATGGTGAATTCTGATTTAGTACACACAAAGGATCATCCATATTGAAGAACGCTAGGACACTGGTTAATTTCCTTGTATTCCAGCAGATGGAGCTGCAGCTTAGAAGGGCTCAGGATGCTTCAGAGGCTCATGCCCACCCCTCAAAAAAAAAAAAAAAAAAAAATCAGTAATGAGAAGACGTGTGGAGAGCAACAAGGTGAATTACAAAAAAAGGAACATTACTTGGTATAGAACTATTCTGTGGTTGTACGAGTGAGTGCCCATACCAATGTCTGACCCACGGTGTGCACTCAATAAATAGTGAATGAATTCATGTGACATAATCTGATGACCAACTGTAGCCTGAGTTTAGAATAGCAATCCTCTCCTCCTCTTTCTGCTTTGTTTTTCTCTCCTCTCCCTTTGATTCTTTGCATATTCATGCCCTTTGGACACCCACCTCCTGCCAAAATGTCATGGAAAATTCTGCAAAACTTGGCTGCAGGGTCAAACTAATGTCAAAGGGAGGTGCAGGGAGAGGCATGTGATAAAAATAGTCTAGTGGAGGTTCCCACCTGTTTCCCATGCTGTAGCCCTGCGCTCTAGGCAGTGTTTCTTGAAGTGTTTTCCCAGCCATCTGCATCAGTGTCATCTGGGTTGTTTGTCAAAAATTCCAATTACCAGGCCACACCTCAAAGACTCTGATTCAGTGCTTCTGGGCTGGGGTACTGCAAGCGGTTTTTCTGCAAAACCAAGCTTTAGAATCTCACTTGTGGAGCAAGGAGAGCCCACAATCTCTTATCCTCAATCCTGAAATCTAAAAAATACTGAAATCTCTGAAAACTGGAAGTTTTTTGTAGCTCATTTTGGAGGCAAAATCTGACCTATAAAGTAAAATGAAGCTATGCATGGTCCTTATTTATTGTACATCATGTGAACATTCACACACTCTTCTGATTACTTACTTCAGAAGTAATCATGAGCTCCAGAGAGTGCTGGGGGACATTGTGGAAGAAAGTATTACCTAAGTTAGTTATGAGGACTAAAGAGATGTAGAGTAAGAGAGCTGAAAAGGCCTCCACTCTGAGTGGCTCTTGGAGTGTAGTCACATACTCTTCTGCACTCTTCTGCAGAAATACTAATATGTTTGATTAGAAGGTGCTCCCTTTGACCCCACTGGGGATATTATGGGATGTATGGGTGCATATTCTGTACTGAATTGTCTTTTTAAAATCCAAAGGCTTTTTGAATTTGGAAATACATGTAGGTGGCTTCAAGAATTTCAGATTGGGCACTTGTACTATATTCTCATGTCCCCCTATTGATGGTGCTTGAAGTGGTTCTATTTGGGTCCAATAATTAAAAAAAATAAATTAATAAAAAGCCCAGTGAAAGGAATATTGGCTTGGGAGCCAGGAGATTTCATCTTTCTGGGCTCAGTTCTCTCCCCGCCCCCCCCGAAAATGAAGAAGGAGATGACATTGGAGGCCTCCTTTCTCTAAAATTTTGGTCACACCTTCTTTCTCTCTTAAGAAATGTCAGGCATTACTGCCACAAAAGTTGGGTTGTGGTATCTTATTGTTTGTTTTTATTTTAAATTTTTAAAAGGTAAAAACATTTTTCCCCATTTGAGATTTCCAGACAGGTTCTTGACTGACATTTCCCTTGGTGGTGTGAAGGGGCATTTACCCAAATTCTATAGACATTGTGATAGATTATTACACTCAACAAAACTTCTGTGAAAACTACTAGAATACAGAAGTAATCATGAACTCCAGAGAGTGCTAGGGAACATTGTGGAAGAAAGTATTACCTAAGTTAGTTATGAGGACTAAAGAGATGTAGAGTAAGAGAGCTGAAAAGGCCTCCACTCTGAGTGGCTCTTGGAGTATAGTTATAATAGTCCAAGGGGCAGCAAGCTGCTTTTAGCAGAATCCTAGTGATCCCAAAGCTCACATAATTGGGGTCTTTCTTTAGTCCTCTATGCAGCAATTAATATCTAAATGATTACCCTAATATCCTATCAAGTCCTGAAACAAGATTTTGAAAAATTTAAAAAACACAAAATAGAACAAAACAACAAGGTCTGAGTTTGCAGTGGGCCAAATTGTGCCCCACAAAATACAAGTTGATCCCTGACCTCTAGCACCTTAGTGGGTGACCTTATTTGGAGATACAGACTTTATAGAGATAATCAAGTTAAAGTGAGATCATTAGGGTGGGCCCTGATATAAGGATATAAGGATACAACTGGTATCCTTATAAGAAAGGGAAATTTGGATACAGACACATTCAGGGAGAATACCATCTGAACATAAAGGTGGTCATCTATAAGCCAAGGGGACAGGTCTGGAACAGATCCTTCACTCAGAGGCCCAAAAAGGTACCAACCCTGCTGACGCTGTGATCTTGGACTTCTAGACTCTAGAACTGTGAGGCAATACATTTCTGTTGTTTAAGCCACCCAATTTGTGATACTTATTACAGCAGCCCTAGAAAAATGGGTTGTAATGTACAATGTCTAGTTCAATGGCAGAGGAAGGTGTCTATGATCTCTGGTTTGTGCATTTGGGCATTCATTTCATGACTGGCTTCTTTAATGCCCCATTCTTTGTTTTCTATTTATTTCCTTTTTTAAATTTTGTCTTCTATTTTTTTTAAATTTACCATACTAGATGTATGTTTATAAGCTGCCTGAAATTCTTTTTTTTGGTTTAGAAATGATATAAATTGGTAAATAAAGATTATCTGGTCCTAAGCACGTGTAGCCTCATACATGGTTGGCATGAAACAACTAAATAGCAAACTATAAATTTGTAAAACAAATTAAATAGTAAAATCGAACTCTGTACCATTGGAGGAGGAACTGTGAAGGATGGTAAGGTTTAGTTTCAGAAAGCAAATGATTTCTGCACTCTGGGAACGAATTCTTCAGGCAGTACACCACTTTAAAATGGTGCTTGAGCCACCAAAATGTCAGGGCTGTCTTCAACTTCTCATGATGCTGAGCAGAGAGAAGGGGAAAATCATTTCTAGATGAAGGGCTATGGCAAAAATTTTATGAAGTGTCTAAAGAATTCAAACAATACAAATTATCATTAACTGAGTGTTTGCTATATAGCAGGCCCTCTGCTAGACATTTGTTATGCAATGGATCATTTAATCCTTATGATAACCTTGCAAGGAGATATTTCTCTTCCCCTCTCCTCTACTTAAAACTAAAAAATTCATAGCTCAGAAAAGTAAAGTAACTTGTCTAAGATCAGGCAATTAGTAAAATGTTGAGCTGAGACTTGATACAGAAAAATCTGACTTAAACTGCATATTATTCACACCTCTCTAAATTGACTCCTTACAGTTCACGCATTATTTTGCTCTCTTAAATACAAATCAGGATTATCCATACCTATAGAAATGTACTTGAGGAAGTAGTCTTAAATTTGAATGTTTAGAAATTTTAGGCCCAGAAACTAAAAAGTATTTTCACTTAGCATAAAAGTATGTAAAGAATATGTAAAGAAATGACTGTATCTTTATAGACCAAGGTTGCATGTAAAACCTGGGGGCTACAGAAGAGGACTAAGAAAAATATATTCAGAATCATACTATAGTTTTCAACAGTATTAGTGAGAGGGGACTAGAAGTTAATTACAAAACCACTCTCTATATTCGTTACAGATATTATATTCTAATCCTTGGAAAGTAGGCTGTGGAAGAGCTAATAATTGCCTTCCAATACCCATTCTCTTCTTGCAAGGGCATATGGTTTTCCAGCTAAACATTTTATTTTGCACCCTTCCTTGCAGATAGGTGTACTAAGGGACTGGGTTTTGGCCAGTGGACTGTGAGTGGAAGTACTGCATGCCACTGTTGGCTGTGCTCCCAAAAAGGGAAAGGATGTGTCACCTCTTCCCCTGTGCTCCTTCCTTTGGCTGGGAAGCTGGTGTGGTGATGGGAGCTAAACCAGCCATTACGGACATCCAGATGGAAACCAGTTGTTGAGGATGACACAGCAACAACAACAACAACAACAACAACAACAAAAGACCCTCAAGACTGTGAGGCTAATGTATCAGCCTGGATTACCAACCTGCACTTCTGTATTGGTGACAAATAAAATGCATGTTTGTAAAGCCACTGTTCTGTTGAGTCTCATTGTTACTGCCGCCAAACCAGTATTCTAACTAATAAGCTATATTTTTACTAACAATAAAACAGAAAGCTTCATTCCCTAAATCTTCTGAATATGAATGTATGGAAAGACTATCTATATATAATTACATACTTTATTTCAGTATTCATTTTGTGGTACAGTTGCTCCCAGCAACGAGCTAGGACACTTCATTTCCTTGGTTCCTACTCTGTCTTCAGTGAAAAGTCTACCAAGGGATTCTGGCTTCTCAGGTTGTCTTAGGAGCATCTGAACTAGATCTGGAAACCCAGACTCATTATCTTTAATTGCTGGATAGGAGCAATTTGGAAAGTGAAGACAACACAGGATGATCTGATATTTATTAGTGGTTTTGTTTAAGCCCAAAAAGTCCAAAAAGTGACAGGAAATTTATGCAATAATCTGATGTATAAAAACCCTTTGAAACACGGGAAGGGTGTTGGATCAGGAGTTTCTAAGGTTTGCCTGAGGTATCTAGAGATAGTACATTAGCAGCTTCCAGAAGAGGGGTATGTGTGTGGGTGTGTGGGGGGGGACATTATAGCCGGAATACCCCTATAGTCCCCTTTTCTAAAATAGGGTTTAGAAGAGATGTGGGAGGAGTCCCCCTAAACCACAGAAAAGTCTCAGTTGTAAAACTGATGACTTATTCATGGTCACATAAGGTCAAATCCTTCCAGTTCTATAATCCATTTCAGTGAAGAGAGGAAAATTGAAGGGGCATTTATCTTGTTTCCATGGATGCTTTCATAGGCTATTATATGAAGAAAAACTAGGAAATACTAAGAAAATACTAGAACATTTACTACAGAGTTTAAAACAGAGTTGGTTTCAGGTAGGATCATAAATTTTACCCAGCCTCTTGAATTCTCTGTCTTCACTTTACATATCCCACAGCAGAACAGAAGAGGTCAGCCTGATCTAGTGGATGCTAGAGTTAGGGGGGGTGGGATGGAGAGGCAAGGAGACTACCTAGGCATATTAGTTACTGCCAAAAAGATGGGCCTGGTTATTGGTAAAATTCCCCCTGGGAATTGAGATATTAGAGCGATGGGGTTTTCTTTTTGTTTTTCATAAGGAAAGAAAGAAGTGAGAAGAAGTGAGAAATCATGAGGCTCACTGAATTAAAAAAAATAAAATGTCAGTAAAGAACATTGTGGAAAATAAGAAACCATGCACACACCCCCCAGTAACCAAGCCTAAAGAAATGGAGATCTCTAAACTGGCTAAAAAGAATTCAAAATGATCCTCTTAAAGAAGCTCAGTCCACTGCAAGAGAACACAGACAACTAAATAAAATCAGAAAACAACACATGAACATAATGAGTTCAACAAAGAGATAAAAAGCATAAGAAGGAACCAAACAGAAATTCAGGAACTAAAGAACAAAACAATTGAATAATTCAGTAGAATGCTTCAACAGCCAACTTGATCAAGAAGAAGAAAGACTCAGTAAGTTTGAAGACAGGTCATTTGAAATTACCCAGTTGGGGGGGCAGGGGGAGATTAAAAGAAGTGAAAAAAGCTGATGGGACTTATGGGACACTGTCAAGTGAACCAATATACATACACACTTTGGAAGTCTCAGAAAAAGCAGAGAAAGAAAAAGGAGTAGAAAACTTATTTAAAGAAATAATAACAGGCTGGGCATAGTGGCTCATGCCTGTAATCCTAGCACTCTGGGAGGCAGAGGCGGGTAGATCATTTGAGTTCAGGAGTTCAAGACCAGCCTGAGCAAGAGCGAGACCATGTCTCTACCCAAAATAGAAAGAATATATAGAAAAAATTAGCTGGGCATGGTGGCACATGCCTGTAGTCCCAGCTACTTGGGAGGCTGAGGCAGAAGGATTGCTTGAGCCCAGGAGTTTGAGGTTGCTGTGAGCTAGGCTGACGCCATGGCACTGTAGCCCAGGCAACAGAATGAGACTCTGTTTCAAAAAAAAAAAAAAAAAAGTGGCAGTATTAACATATAACTCTAGTATAAAAGTTAAAAGTATTAAAAAAACTATAGCTATAATAATTTTAATTGATACATGATATATAAAAGAGGTAAATTATGACATTAATAGCAAAATACGAGGGAGGAGAAGGTAAAGTGCTGAGTTTTTCTCAATTTGACTGTATTATTAGTTTTATAGCTAGTTTTATACTTTCATATATTTTCATGTTGTCAGTTAGCAGCCTCTCATTTCAACTTGAAGAACTCCCTTTAGCATTTCTTATAAGGCAGATCTAGTGGTAATGAACACCTACATGCAGTCACAGTTAAGTTTTTATCAGCTTTAAATATAGTATTATAAATATAAAATATTTTATATAAGCCTCATGGCAACCCCAAAGAAAAAAATCTGTAGTAAATACATAAAAGATAAAAAGAAAGGAAGCAAAGCATACTATCACACACACACAAAAATAATCATCACATTATGAAAAGAGACAGGAAGAGAGGCAGACTGGAACAAAGAAACTACAAAACAGTCAGAAAACAATTAACAAAATGGCAGTAGTCCTTACCTATGAATAACTACTTTAAATGTAATTGGATTAAATTTTCCAATCTAAAGACATAGAGTGGCTAAATGGACAAATAATTAAGAACCTTACTATATGCTGCCTACAAGGGACTCACTTTAGCTTTAAGGACACACACAGGCTGAAAGTGAGGAGATGAAAAAAAACATTGCATGCAAATGGTAACCAAAAGAGAGCAGGAGTGGTTATACTTACATGAGACAAAATACACTTTAAGTCAAAAACCATCACAAGAGTCAAAGAAGGTCATTATATAAGGATAAAGGAAAAGATTAATCAAGACAATATAACAATTGTAAATATATATGCACCCCCAAACTTAGAGCACCTCCATATATAAAACAAATATTTTAAAGAAACAAAAGGAAGAATAGACAGTAATACAATGATAGTGAGGAACTTCAACATTCCACTTTTGACGATCCAGATAGAAAATCAATAAGGAAACAGCAGACTTGAATAACACTAGACCAAATGGACCTAACAGACATGTACCAAACATTCCACCCAATAAGCAGTATAATACACATTCTTTTCAAGTGCACATGGAATATTTTCCAGGATAGATGATATACTAAGCCACAAAAAAAGTCCTAAAAAATTTAAGAAGATTGAAATCCTATCAAGTATCTTTTTCAATCACAATAGTATGAAACTAGAACTCAATACAGGAGGAAAATTGGAAAATTTATAAATGTTGAAATTAACAAACTCCTGAACAACAATAAGTCAAAGAAAATATTTTTTATATCTTGATAATAATGAAAATGGAAATGCAACATACCAAAACTTATAGGATGGAACAAAAGCAGCTTTAAGGGAGAAGTTTATAGCAACAAATACCTTCATAAAGGAAGAAGAAATAGCTCAAATAAATAACCTAAATTTACACCTCAAGGAATTAGAAAAAGGAGAACAAACTAAACCCAAAGTCATCAGAAAGAAAAAAATAATAAACATTAGAGTAGAAAAAAATGAAATAGAGGCTAGAAAAAACAATGAAAAAATTCAATGAAACAAACAGTTGGTTTTTGAAAAAAATTATGAAATATTTAGCTAGTTAACTACAAAAATAAAGAAGGCTCAAAAAATAAAATTATAAATGAAAAAGGAGACATTAAAACTGATACCATAAAAATGCAAAGAATAATATGAGATTGCTATGAACAATTATATGTCAAAAAATTGGATAATCTAGAAGAAATGGATAAATACCTAGAAACATACAACCTATCAATATTGAATCAAGAAGAAATAGAAAATTTGAATAGAGCAGTAAAAAGATTGAATCCATCATCAAA